CTAGAAAACCTATCTTTGAATTAGGAATAATAGAGAACCTGTTGCAGATGCTAGATATTTATGGGGAGGCAGTGAAACATTATCAAGCATGGTAAATTTGATAGTGGAATTTTAAACTGAATTGTAATAATTAATTCATCCTCTAATTTACTTATTTTAGTGACAGTTCATTAGTATATTCTTGTGCTTTTAAGAAGTTCTAATTAAGAGAGTGTCATGATAATAGCGGGGTCATAATTATATGCATTTAATTATATTAGAGCAAAGTATTTAGCTTTGTATGAATATTGTTAGGAAGTTCAAAATAAGAAAAATAACTAATATCCAAACTTGAAGAAAACATTTCCTTCATTACATGATATTTGTAAATCTTAGTTATTTTCAGCACCTCTCACACCAATTTTTCTGGTTTCATTTGAACATTTTGCTCTTCTACTTGATGTACAGAGCACAGGGGTAGGGAAATACTTTAGGGTTTCATAAACAAAATAGACAGAGGTATCAACCAAACAGCTCTGAAGCTAAAAGATCCCCAGCTCCCATAGTAAGGGACCAGGCTCCGAGCTTGCTGCTGTGGCCCACCTCTTTACAGTGGCAAGACCAAGTGGCCCAGAGTGAGGTCCTAGACTTGCTGAACTGGTCAGACCACTCAGCTGTGGCCAGGGTCAATGTGACCTCCTTCAGCCCTCTTGGTCACACTGGCTGATTTTCTTTTTTAAGATTTATTAACTTATTTTAGAGAGAATGAGAGAGAGCATGCGAGTTGGGGGAGGGACAGAGGAGAAGGAGGGAGAGAGAGAGAGAGAGAGAGAGAGAGAAGCAGGCTCCCTGCTGAGTGGGGAGCCTGATGCGGGACTGGATCCCAGGACCCTGAGACCATGACCTGAGCCGAAATCAAAAGTCAAGCCCAACCAAGTGAGGTTGCCCCTGGCTGAATTTTTTTTTTTTTTAATACTTTGAAATTTAGGGACTACATTTTTGCACAATAATGTGTAGTCAATGATCTGTCTCATATTTTGGGTTTTCTTTGTGCTGTCATCCATGAAAAGCATGGAATGTGGTTTGCCATTAAAAAAGATCACCTCAGCCAGGTGAATTGCTGTTAAGCACTGGGTAGCCCTAACTTTATGTAACTAAGGTCACAGTTATTACCTAAACAAATAGAAGAAAGTAGGCAAAGACATAGCTCAAATAGAATGACTATTTTAGAACAAAAGAAATGGTGCATTCTTTATGGTTCTAAAGTAAGGCATCTACAGGATATAGTTAGTGTCACGCTTTATGTTTATTTCTCACTTTTTTTCCCCTCTCTCTCGCTCTCTCTGTCTTTCCTGATAAAACATTCTGGGCAATTTAAAAAATTTGCACTAGTTTTAATAAAATAGACTCTCTTAATTCTTTCCCTACTGTTGCAGTTAATTTAGGCAATGTCAGTCTGTTACTGTTAGAATTGCTATTCAACTGAAAATGTATTATAATCTGCTGCACACATAAAAAATTACATTATAATGAGCAAAACCGAGCTAAACATAATTGTGCCTATAACAGCACTGTGACAGGAAGTGTCTCCTGTAACGGTGATGATTTCCATATCAGTGATAATTTTATTATCCGATTTGCATTGTCTTCTTCTTGCTGCCATATTGATGCACAGAATGTGTCCATCCGTTCCTAGGAGATATATAGATGCCAAAAAAAAAAAAAATATATATATATATATATATATATATATAGTTAACTCCATCTCCTATTCCTAGAAAAATCTTAAGTAATTAGAAAGTTAAAAAGATGACAGCAGCCAAATTGCATCCCCCAATGCTGCACCCCCCCCCCCCCCACACACACATACACCCAACTCCCTTTAATAGGTTTATGTACTTGCTGGAGGCAACTTTTGAAAATACCTTAATGGCCTCAACCCTTAGGCTAAAAGCATTTAACCATCTCTGCCTTTGGCCAATGCCTACTGGGTTACAGGGTCATTTTGTCGTTTCTGGGCCAGCCATCTCTAATACAGATGAGTGGAGTTTTATAACTTCTTGTAAGAGCAAAGGGAAAAAAGGAAGGGAGACATTCACTCCTACTTATTGGTGTGTTACCAGATAGTCTCTTCAGCTCTTAGAGAAAAATCACGATGTAGGATTCTGGATAAACAGGCAAGATAAAAACAAAACAAACAAAAAACCAAGAAGCTACAAAACCTACTCACCATATAGGGGAATTCCCCCGCTTTCCTGGCCCTTTTCTCCCTTTGATCTCAATACAACAACTAGTTATTAAGCAGTTGCTATGTACAAAACATTATCCAAAGCATGGGGGATCCAAAAGGGACTAAAATAGCCCCAGTTGTTAAAGGAAAGAGTTGGTAATAAGTTGGGTACTCAAATATCCACAAGGAAAAACTCTGGAAATGACATTCAGGAAAATGTGTCTATAGTGGCATATCGTTTATGTCAAGGTCAAGAACTCTATTGATTTTTTTTGAGGCAAAAACTGCTGTAAGAGCCTATAGAAACAGAGGGTTTTTTAAGAAAACTAAAACAACTATACATTCTACATTGCTATATCATATCTTCCATGCTTACAGAGTTTGAAAAAGCATCTCTCAGAATGTGAATACCCCTTTATTAGATGCTAAGCAAGCACCCAATTATTTATGGATACAATTTTGGTGATTGCAAATGACTTCACCTGCAGCCCATCTGGGTCTGGATTATTGGTTGGAAGTCAAAGGTCCTCAAGTCTGGAATGCCTGCATCAGGACTCACAGTTTCTCCTCACTCTTCATTTGTCCAAAGAAAAATGTCTTATCCATGTCTGTCCTAAAAAGAAACAAAGCGTTTGCTACAGTTTTGCAAGTTTTAGAGATATATGGATTCTGGCATCCAGTTGCTTCAGTGCAATAAACAGTTTTGTCAACCGCAAAATGATCTCTCTCTCTCTCTTTTTTAAAACATTGATAGCATTGACACATCTTGAGTGTATAGTCCCTACAAGGTTGTAAATCTAGTTATAGCCTTTAGAATAGAGCAGTGGATGATTAATTTTGGATAAAAAAGTCATAGGAGGAGGGGCACCTGGGTGGCTCATTTGGTTAAGCAACTGTCTTCAACTGAGGTCATGATCCTGGAGTCCCGAGATCAAGTCCCGCATCGGGCTCCCTACTCAGCAGGGAGTCTGCTTTTCCCTCTGATCCTCCCCCTTCTCTTGCTCTCTCTCTTACTCTCTGTCTCTCTCCCAAATAAATAAGTAAAATCTTAAAAAAAAAAAAAAAAGCCATAGGAGGAAAAAAACCCTACATTTATTTCTATGTACATTTCTGACTTTAGTTGAGGATGTTGGAAGAAGAAGGATTTGTGGATTGGGACAGAAAAAGGAGGAAAGCATGGAAGGAGTTGAGGGAGTTTGGCAGGAAAGTTTTGAGCCTCAGAAGGAGCCTCCTGGATTTGGTGTCAGGGGCTGAACTTGGGCAGAGCTGAGGCTGACTTTGGAAGTCCCTTATGAGCCTTAAGCACGGGAAAAATGTCAGAGAAGCACACATTCAGCAATGCCAAAGAGTGTTTGAAGCATTTTCCATTTTGGGTTCTACGTTCTCAGACCTGAGTAGATCCAAAAGGCAGGCATGAACAATGCTGAGTCACGAAAGTAGGAAGACGTAGGATGGAGGACTAGACAAGCAAAATTAAAATGCTCCTTGAACTGCATGTTGGCTTCAACAGAATGAGAACTATCTCCAGGCCTCTTGGTGGAAGCTTGAGGAAAGAACAATGAAAAAATTCTCAGGAAACAGAGATAACAAGCAGAAATTGGTTGCACAGTTTGCATGGCACAACATGTCTTTGATATTCTTTTAATTTTTTGTCTTGTTTAGTGAACAGAAACACGTGAAAGCTTTCAGAGGCTGACTTCTAAGTCCAGTCACTTATAACGTCTTAGGTTTTCTTCATCTTCTATTCCTTCACTATGGAGTTTTTAGGAACCTCCCCTGGTAGCTGTGGGTGTCACTTTCATTTTGGAAAAAAGTATCTGAAAACAAAACAAAACAAAAAACCACGGACTTGTGTCTCTAGCGAGCATTGGTCATCATTGGAGCCTCTGCCCAGCTTTTCATGTTTCAGGGGACCGCACCTCTCTGCCTCCATGGCCTGGCTGTGTCTGCCATTAAGTTCCCTGAGATTTAAAGAAACTAAGCCCTACTTACCCATTGTGGTTCTGAGATTTGATAGCAGGTTTTTTTTCTTAATATTGAAGTATAATTAACATACAATGTTCCATTAGTTTCAGGTGTACAACATAGTGATTCCATAATTCTATACCTTATGCTTTGTTCACTACAAGTGTACCTACTGTCTGTCATGATACAGTGCTGTCACAATACCACTGACTATACTCCTTACGCTGTACCTGTTATCCCCATGACTTAGAGAGAAAATAGTATTATTATTATTATTATTACTATTATTTTATTTTATTTTGTTTTGTTTTTAGAGAGAGAGAGAGTGGAGTGCGGGGAAGGGGGAGACGGAGAGAGAGAATCTTAAGCAGGTTCCATGCCCAGCATTAGGGTCCAGTGTGGGCTCCATCCCACGACCCTGAGATCATGACCTGAGCAGAAATCAAGTGTCAGACACTCAACCAACTGAGCCACCCAGGCGCCCGAGACAGAGCAAATATTATGAAGATAACTTAAAGGAAAGTAATTTCGGCTTCATTGGTACATATCTTTTCCTTAGTGCCGCACTTTCTTCTGCCAGACTGTACAGACCTGTCACTGAGCATCTTGGCATATCCATTCTTGTTTGTCCAGCGGTGCAGCTACACTTTCTTCTTAGTCCCAGACCAAAGGAGCTCTACCGCCGGCGTGTGGCTACCATGTTACTGGCACTTGAGCACGAACATTTTTAAGAAGGCAGCCAGCATTTTCCTATCCGCGCTGACAAGCTTTGGGTCCTGCAGAAGGAAGGAAGGAAAGGCGACCCTAAGCTGGATCTGTCTTGCAGGAGACCTTCGAGAAGGCGAGCCTGAGCAGCAGCAGCAGTGGGGCCGCCAGCCTGAAAAGCGAACTCTCAGAGAGCGCAGACCTGCCCCCCGAGGGCTTCCAGGCCCCCGGCAGTAAGGAGGAAGACAGGGCCTGCGATGAAATCCTGTCAGAGGAGAACTTCAACTTGGAAAATATCGAGAAAGGTATTTCTAGTGAAACGGAGACAGCAGGCATGCGCTCTTGACTTCGGTCTCTATCAAGGCTCATTTGCTTTTTATTTTATTCTGTTACTCTTTGATTCATGTGCAGATATGTACTCAGAGCTAGATGATGAACTGGACATTTTGGACAACTCCAGCAGCTCCAGTTCAAGCCCTTTAAAAGAATCTACATTCAGTAAGTTTTTGCTGGCCTGCGGGGTTCCGGTAGGTCATGGTTTAGGAATCACGCTTGGGAGTTAAGTAAATGCCATCATGTACATAGGCAGAAGTTTGTTCTCAAGGTGCGGTGCTAATTAGGACAGGTCGGTCTAGCCCTGTGAGGGGCCCAGAGGCCAGCCAGCACTGCGGTCTTCTGTTGCCTCAGCTGTCAAATGAATAGTTTCATTATTTCTACCAGCAAACCCAGATTCTAACTGGCGAGTGGAGATAACTAATTTGGAGACACACTAAATAACCACAAGAATAATGGAAGTGATTTCTTATGAATCTGGTCTATAGGAATTAGAGACCTGGAGAAGAAATTAGTCCTGGGGTAGACTATGTTTTGTACAATTTTATTTCCATTATGAAGAAATATATTTCAAACACTAAAGTAAAATAATTATTTTAATTGTTTATTACTATGAAAAAATGGAATATATAAATTCAGTCCATACATGAATTCTGACTCTTGATTTAAAACAGGAAAGGAAATAGTCTGCGGTATGAGGTATGGAAAAGAAAAGAAAAGAAGAGAAAAGAAAAGAAAAGAAAAGATATATTTGGAAAAATGTAAAGATTATAAGGAAAGATAGGATTCAATTTGTTCAACAAATCTGCAACTGAAAGAAAAGAAAGGTTAAAATAGAATATGGAGAGGAAAGAATAATTAATTCATTTAAAAGAGTAGGTTGAAGGCACATTAATTAGAGAGGTAGAAATACTCTGAAATAAAGTTAGTGTAAACGATTTCCTCTCATTAATGACTATATATGAAAATCTCATAAAAGAAAGTTTAAAATAGTCTCCTCAAGGACCTAAGTAAAACCCTAAGGAGTTGCTTCATTTGCTTCATTTTTGGTTCCTTTCCAAACTTAACTGTCCATAAAATAGTGACTAGATGTTCCAGATTTTCTGTGATAATCTGTTTCCGTCATTGATCTATTTTCCCACAAATTCCGGCTTGCTAGATAAAAATGTCCTGATTGGTGATTAGGAAAACATGAAAGCTATACAGGAAAAGATATTCATACATATGTAGCAAATTCTACAAGCAGTTAATTACTGGCTGTTTTGAGATGAATTCATCTTTGTATGTTCGGGGTAACAGTGGTGAGGAAGGTCAGTGGGGAAGCGAGGAAGGACAAGTTGAACCCTTAAACTTGCATGTGGTAACTTATACTTGTTAAGGCCTTTAGGATAATTATGAGATAGATATTTTATTGTATTTTATTAGCTATTAATAACAGAGTTTCCTTTGGAAAAAGGACCTTAAACAATCCTGTCAAGTAAACAGTAATTTGAAGCTTTCTATTTTAACCGATACTTTTATAAATGAAGACCGTCTTTAGAGTATGCTAAATACTGCTCACATAATAGAATGCAGCTTTTTTTAATGAATAAATAGATAAATAAATAAAAGATTTACACAGGGAAAATGTAAAGCTATTTTTATGTTCTTGTTTCAGGCATTTTAAAGAGAAGTTTTAGTACCTCAGGAGGAGAAAGACAATCCCAAACAAGGTGTGTACACATTGAGCTCCCAGAAGTCTGCAGAGCCATTATTGGTGGCTAAACTAAAACCTCGTAGCCAGAAGTCACCATGAACATGGGTGGTAGAGGCTGATAGACCCACCCTCCCAGCACAGATTGCATTTTACTGGGAGCTTACTGGAAAGTGTACTAAGCTTGGACCTGGGTTTAATCTAGCTTTATGATCTTTAGCTAAGCCATTAGTCTAATGGAGCTCAGGGCTGGACCAGAGAAGTAGTTAGTTATGCATTATGAGGCCATCTGGAGCCCTGGTTCCTTATATCTTGTTTTTCCACAATCCCAGGCTATAGGGCTCATCCTCATGGCAAATGTGGCAAACGTGGACCCCATCACCTCCACATCCCAGCCAGCAGGAAGTGGAAGGAGCATATGGAGACGTGCCCCTTCCTTTCAAGGACATGACTCATGCATTGTGCTCATCCCTTCTGCTCACATACCATTGGCCAGACTTAATCATATGAACACATCTAGCTGAAAGGGAGGATAAATATGTTTGGGGGATTCTATTTTAAAAGGAAAAAGAACTCTTTTAGGACCACCAGCAATTTCTCTAACAGTTATCTCTTGGACAAAAGACTAAAATGAAACTATTAAGTCTGGCCTTTTGCAAGTCCCTGATGACCTTTGTGAGGGTGATTTCCGTGACACTGGGTGAGGTGGACAGGAGTGGAAGCCTGATCGTGGTGCTTTCAGAAGTTGCAGAAGCAGAGATGGGAAGGAAGCTACCAGTGAGCTGGCCAGTTAGCTGGCGAGCGATGTTTGATGGAAAAGGACCTTCTTAGACTCAGGATGACTGCAGGGTGGCTGGGACTCAGGAGAGGCCGCCAGTGGAGAGGAGAGATAAAGAGGGAAAGAAGAAATTGCCGGAACACTGGCACAGAGTAGTGGAGCCCAGAGAGCAGGTCTGGGAAAGAGGAAGTGACAGCCCTTTCTCTGTGTCTGAAGAAAGGGAGGCAAAGATAAAATTAAGCTAGAAAAGCAGAGAAGAGGGTTTGAAAAGATAATACTTGGTGGTTTCTGGTCATTAGATGATGTTCACTGCTGTGAGGATGGTTTAGATTTGAGGAGGGTGGTCAGTGAGGAAGAACCGATATAAAAATGGGCAGACACCTGAGCGGAGACAGCTCTGAGGTGAAGATGCTGGTTGAGGCTGGAATGCATTGAAGCTGCGGGTGACCTTGGTCGGGGGCGTGGCTACATGCCATGGGACAAAAGGCTAAGGCCATGCTGTGCTTTAGCAGTTGGGCTTTCTGGACCAGGCAAAGGAACATGATTCTGATTGACTTGTGCAACAGGGAGGTTCATTCAAAGGCTTTGGGGGCCCACATAATGAGGATCCAAGGAATCAAACTTAGGAAGGAATGAAAGTCAAGTGAGCCGCTGCAATCTGTAGAGGAGACACAGGCTCAGAAAGGCCCTGGTGTTGGGACAAAGGAGCTCCCAGTCCGTTTGTTCCATCCATGTGTCACCTTTCTCAGGATCCGGTGTCTTGCGTGAGAGAGTCAGGGGGGCCTGGTTTGAATTAACACTCTATTCACTGCTGCAGGGAGGGCTGAGCTCCTGGATCTACGTCCATGAGGGGTCTTTGTTGGAGGGAGCAGGATCTAGGTGCTAGGCAGCCAGAATGGAACTCTTGTCTGCCTCTGGGCTCAAGGGTGCTGCTGGGAAGTTGAATTCAGAATGAAGAACCTGCCTAGCAAAATCCTGAGACATTCAGTTGGGTGGCAAAGGAGAGTTCCTATAGAAAATCATTTTTGTTTAGTCAAAGATACAATACCATTGATTACTGATTTTTTTTTTTTTTTTCACATAAGGTTCAGGAACAGTTAGCGTGAAACTTTTTCATTTCCTAACTCGTTTCCAGTGTTGCTAGTAACAAAAGCCCAAGGAAAACTGATCCGAGTGCATAAAATACGAGAAGCATCGTTGAGGAAAGCCTACACATTTTTTAGTGGGCCAGTGTGCAGAGGATGGTGGTTAGAAGTAATGGAGAGAGCAGGGAAAAGAGAAACAGTCCCAAACCCCAAGGAGAATGGAGAACGAGAATGGGGGATCTGGAGGACTTGGGACTTGAATGATAAGATCACCTAAGGAATTTCCCAGGCTTGCAGTTCCCTCCCATAGCCTACCTTCTGTCATCTTGTCCTTAAGTCACCACCTCTACCCCTACTTTCCACAGACATTGGAAGCCCCACACAGGAGCCTGGAGCCATGGGAGCTCTTGCTCATTTGGCCCAGCAAGGAGGGAGACAGGGTTGGGAGACATGGCTATGGAGCTGGGGATCTGAACGCCTGGTACCATGGAGTCAGTTTGTTCTCTTCAACTCTGGCTTCAGAACTTCTGTCTTAACCACATTGCAAGTTGGATAGATTTTTGTGAGCTGATCTGGAAATCTTTCCAACTGCTTGGGAACAGTGTTTGCATAGGAAAATGTTCCACATGTTTTCCTGCAAAATACTTAGCAAGCACCCTCGGGAATGTAGCAATTCCCAATTTTGTGATTATTTCTATTTCTAAGAACATGATCAGAAGGCTTTTTTTCTTCCATTCTTGGATAATTTATTCATTGATATGAAATTGCTTAAATGTATAGAAGAAGTGCAAAACAAGTATTTTAGTGCAAAAATACATTATGACATATGGGTTTTACTCCCCAGTTAAAAGAATTTTATGTTAAAATGGGAATTTCCAATCAGATAAATTTAGGCATCTTGAAATTGTTAAATAATTCTAGTCTTTTTTTTTCCTCAAAGGACTCATGGAATTGTGTTATTTGCAAGAATTCAGTTGAAGTCCAGCCCTTCAAAAACAAAAGAAACATATGTATTACATATTCTAGGGTTTGAGATGGTTTTTTTTTTTTTTAAAGATTTTATTTATTGGGCGCCTGGGTGGCTCAGTGGGTTAAGCCGCTGCCTTCGGCTCAGGTCATGATCTCAGGGTCCTGGGATCGAGTCCCGCATCGGGCTCTCTGCTCAGCGGGGAGCCTGCTTCCCTTCCTCTCTCTCTGCCTGCCTCTCTGCCTACTTGTGATCTCTGTCTGTCAAATAAATAAATAAAATCTTTTTTTTTTTTTAAAGATTTTATTTATTTATTTGACAGACAGAGATCACAAGTAGGCAGAGAGGCAGGCAGAGAGAGAGGAGGAAGCAGGCTCCCCACTGAGCAGAGAGCCTGAGGTGGGGCTCGATCCCATGATCCTGATATCATGACCTGAGCCGAAGGCAGAGGCTTAACCCACTGAGCCATCCAGGCGTCCCTTGAGATGGTTTTTAAAAGCTAGTCATCATCTAACCATTTTATAGCTAGTTGGGTGAACCAGAATCAACAGAAAGGAGAAGTTCAAACTGAAGCTCATTGAAAAAGGGGATATTACAGAGTGTAATTACATTAACCCCTTTGAATTGTGGCTAATGACCACGTCAACAGGTGGAAAATGGGAAATGACCCAAATGTTGAGGTTGATGGATCAGAAGTCACGTAAGTGAATAGAACCGAAGCTAAAATTATATTTGAAAACTGTACTGTGTGTGGTAGAGTGTGACATGCCATCAGGGAACACAGTTTGTTTTAAGACAAGCTCTCTTCCCTCAAGGAACTCCGAGTGTAACAGGGAGACAAGGGCAGACTTCAGAAGAGAAGAAATGACAAAAGACAGCTTATGATTCATGCCAAATGAGAGGAAAGAAGATTAATGACTTTTGATTTCCTTCCAAGCAATCCCAGAGCTTCTCTAAATTGAAAAGAGACAACTCTAAAATGTACTTATGATTCTTTGAATTAAAAGACATTAAATAAAGCTTGAGTTATTTGCAATCTAACTTGTTTAGGATTTTTCTGGGTTCCTTGGTTTATACCAATAAGAAATGTGAAGCCATCCTGCAGAATATTTAGAAGCTAAATGAGAAGTTAGAATCTAAAAGAAGATAGCCACACTGTGTACTAGAAAATATTTAGAAGCTAAATTAGATGTTAGGATATAAAAGAAAATAACAAAGTGACATAATAGAAAATATTTAGATGTTAAATAAGAAGTTAGAATCTAAAACAAGGTAGCAAAGCTGCAAAATAGAATAAAGATACATAGAAAATCAAGCCGTAGAGATTTTTTGGCTCTTCTATGCCACATATGAAATGGTAGACCAGTTACAATGAGACCCGGAGCAGCTCTCCTTCTTGGGGAGCCTTACTGGCTCTTTAAAAAAGAGAATTGGTCTCATTTAGAAAAAGCCACAGGTAAGGTAAGTGCATGTTTGACCTGAGCATGTCTACTAGAGCTTAGAATTCAAACTTTGTCCTGGCTAACTAGTTCAAAAGGAAAGCTTAAGAAAAAATTTTGAACTTACGTCAACACAGATATCAGGACCCAGATTTAAGCCAATTATCTGCTTAAGAACCAAGGTACCTTCCTAATAACTCACCATAGACTTGCAAATGGAACTAGGCAAATGGAACTAGGAAGGGCAGCTTCTGCCCTCGTTAGAGAGATAACTGGTATCAAGGCTGATGAGAGGAAACATCACATTAGAACTGGAAGGCACCCTGGTGATCCAGGTCATCACCTGATGATGAAATGCTTTTCAGGACTATAATTAATCACAAGACCAAGAGAGAGCTAGTTCTCAACTCTTGGAAGTTATATGTTCCATCTATGAATTACTTAGCAGAAATGACATGAAGTCAACAAATAATTCTTCTGGGCTCCTTTCCTTGTCAAACTCCTCCCCAGATCTCAAGCCTCCATCCTCAAATCACAAAAGTCCTAAAAGCCAAACTGAAAACAACCAGATCAGTAGAGAGAATCCCATTCTTCAGGTCTGGAACTGGAGCCATTCACAAAGCAGAGATGAATCTCCAAATTCCCATTCCCAAGACTCCAGATAAAATCTCCCCATCAGGATGCCATCCATATAGCAGCCATTCCCAGTGCTCTCCTGGCTCCCCAGAAAATCTGGAGATGTCGATGGAG